TTTCATTGGTATGGACAAGTGCACCTTTTTTTGAAAGAGTTTGGAGGTCTTTTCCTTCTGTCTACTGGGTACTCTGTCCTTAGCTGACATCTGTGAGTGCCTTAATCAGTTTGTACGAGGAATAAGAAACTGAGGGCAATAAAAGTGTCTCTATGCTGTGTTACCTATGCTATGTCACAGAGGATTGCTGGATGATTTGGACTAAAAGGACAGCATATCTCTGTGATTTGTTTTGATGTACTACTGAAGAATTACCTTTTTTCTTCTCTCCTTACTTATTTCACCTACCTTATTCCAATTAAGTAAAGGTCAAATGATCATATAGCTCATGGCAACTAGAGGAAAGTGTATGAAATGTATAAGCTTGCAACAGGAAAAACAAATCAAATGTGTAGAACTCACTAGAATTTCTGTTTAAAATTATTGCCCCCCTCCAATGCTGTAAATTCAGTGCATACAGTTTTTATCCTAGGGTAAACTATTTTTCATCAGGACTGCAATATGTTCCCATGTGCTAAAACCCAGAATGTAGTCATCTCCTTATTTTCTGCTCCTAGTGAATTGCCCCTAGCCAGTGCTTAAATACAAGCTTGCAATAAACTACATAAATTGAGTGTAATGAAAGCCTTGAACTTGGGGAATTACTAAAGTCCAAGTCTTCTATGGGATCTTTTATTCTATGTTTACAGAGGTGGCTAGGAATTAAACTGATAGAGACAAAGCTTTCCAATGAACTGTAATTTATTTGGGGATTCAAACATACAAAGACACTCTAACATACACGCATTCACACAAGAACTCAGGAGTAAAGTAATTAGCTTGGAAAGGAAACACAAGGCTTTCTAATGGTGATAATTACCTGAAGGAGGCTGCTCCAATGATGAATAAAGATGGATAGACTCAACCATTATGAAAGGAAAGGACAATAAAAAGAGCTGGGACTCTAGTCAGAGTTCACAGTGGCGCAGTGTCACCATGAAATCTAGCCAGACCCCCAATGTGCCTGAGATTTCGAGGATCGTTTATACCCTTAAACCTAGCCCGTGGCATAGAGTTGCTATTGTATATCAAAGGATTCTGATTCCTAATCTTTGAAGTAGACAATTTCCAAGGAGGGGAGATGGGATGTTAATGTTATCTCATCTTCAGCTGGAAACATCCTGGCTGGCATTCATAAATCCTCTAGGTGTGAATGTCCTGCTTAGCAGCTCCTAGACTTGGCCCTTTTGATCTGCAAATTGTTGTAAGTGCAGATGTGATCTTTCAGGTGCTACATGACATGCTTGCCTTGAGTCCATGGCGATAGGGGCTCTTCCAATCCACGGCCATGGCAGGGACCCAAAAGGAGTCTTTATATTAAATCAGCCATCTTAACATGAGCATTTACCTCTCAGTAAATAAAACTAAGAAATAAAACATTATATCAATTTTGGGTTATATAGATGTAGAACACAAGTGAGAATTGTGTGGCCTGCCAGATATTATTGAATTGCAACTCCCAGCAGTCCTGTCTAGTACAGCGGGCCCTTGATATCCACTGGGGCTTAGTTTCAGGACTCCCTATGGATACCAAATCTGTGGATGCTCTAGTCCCTTTAAATACAATTGTGTAATAAATATTATTCTTTATGTAAAATGGCAAAATCAAGATTTGCTTTTTGGAATTTATGTTTTTTTAATATTTTGAAGCCATGGATGGTTGAATCCATGGATAAAGAATCCATAGATATGGAGGGGCAACTGTATAGTTAATAGTGAAGAATTGTGGGAGTTGCATTATGACAACATCTTGAGATTCACATGATTTCTACCCCTACCCTATATTGAAAAACCACTATGGGCCAATGCAGACTGGCCTAAAGAGGCAGCCTGGGGGTGGAGCTGAGGTGGGCAACTGCACTCCAGCTGCCCTGATGCCGCACGCCCAACTGCACAGCACATGGCGTCATGGCACCCCTTTGCCGCAGCATGCACACATGCTGCGCCAAAGGGGGCAAAAGAGACACAGTGGCAGCTCTAAGGACAGCTTTTTGCCACCTTTTGGGAGCAGCAAAAAGCTGGATCGGGGCCGCATCCTGTGGTTGTCTCAGCCCGAATCTGGCACTCCCAGGAGCGGCACAGAGCCTCCCCTTCTGGGCCATCTGGATCGGCCCTATGTTTTCCCAAGGCTTCTGTATATTGGATACTTATTTTTAGAAGTGTCAGTCTTTAGAATGTTAGATCATTTAACTGTGATTTATATATGTATTGAATTGGTTGATTTAATTGATTTGAAAACTCAATGGTAATTTAAAATACTGCACAAACACACCTAGCTTTCACTATATTATGTGGACTTGAATCAGTTCATAAATACTGGGAATGGCCTTTAATTTCTATAGAAATATGCTTACTAAAATGACTTGTCAAAGTGGCTCACAACATGATATTAACATGCAAGATAATAAAATTAAGAACATGTTCATTACACCTAACTGGTCCATGTGTTTGTACATTACCAGGGACTTCCCTAAAATATTCTGCAAATTCATGATGATCTTTTTGTGACTTATTCAACTTTGTATCATTCTGTATTCAGTATAGTTATATCAGGTTACACAGTGATGTAATTTTGGATTTTATTCTTCTACATTGCTTGCTCACAATCTGTAGACTAGTTTATTGGCTTTTATATGTTAAGGTACTAAATGGAGGCATAAAGAATTGTTGGTTAACAAATAGCCATTATCTCCTGCAGTGGGAATACCCAGATGGCAGATTATGATTAATAAATGCTTTAATTATAATGTCTGATTGAGCTCGTTTATCTGCTCGTTCTGTCTATTAACTGGGTGAATGGTGTCATCTTTACTTGATTTACTTTCTGAGAATGTCTTGCTTTTAATACATAGGAAATGCACCCAAGTATTTATTTATTTATTTTAAATTTTCTCACAAGGGCTTTGGAGGTGATGAACAAATAAAAACCAATTATGGCAAGATGGAGATAATTTCTCTAAAAACACACACACAATAAATACTCATTTAAAATCTCCTAAAAGCAGTCTAAAAACTACCCTGGAATCCAGTTTTAAAATAGTTTAAACAGCAATTTCAAACAGTGGATGCCATGCAGAAGAACACTGTTTTTGCTAAGTAAACCAAGGGCATCGCAAGAATAACTTTTGTTTCTATAATTGAAATACAGTATAGTGGACAGCAGTACAAGTAGACTTTTGACATGACAAGGCTTTTCAGAAGAAGTACTGGTAAAAAGGAAAAAAAGAATACACAAAGTGATGTTTATTTCTGAAAAGTGCCTTGGTTTTTATGTAATACACATAACTCCATGACACTTTGGGACATATGTCTTTCGTACATGGAGTACACTACACTGGTTGGCAGGGGCTTATGGGAGTTGCAGTAAGAATTAACATTTTCTGCTTCTGACCAGATTCTTGCAAAAACAAATCTAGTGTGGTAAAAAGTATGTGTGTGCAGTTTTATGATAGAATTGTTCAGTAGTCACACTTAGCTTCTGTTAAAAGGAATTAGTCAATGAATAAATGGGGACAATGATGTTGATTTTGCATAAAAAAGGGAACAATGACACGCTTGCCCAGATAGTCAGGGGGAGGATTATGTGTTTTTTTAGTTTTATTGTAAGAGGACCCACAAATGATAGGGTGAATAGTGACCGATTTCAGGATTCAACCACTTAGTCGTGTGACATTTTGTAGCAGATACTGCAAAAGACAATCAATTTGGATACAATTATTTGGGAGCACAAATGAGGTGGCTATGAGCTAATTGATAAATTCTCCGGATAACATTAAGGAGAGCTCCATAAAATTGATAATGATTTTATCAATCTAGTCAAAATTTGGATTAAGTCCTTCTGGTCAAGAAGAAGATAATGTGAGGGAAAGGAATTCAACTTGGGTTAGGATGGGTTAGTCATGCCCTTGAAGAATCCAGGGGTGCTGATACATTCAGCTTAGTACTTAGGTGTTCACATGGCAATTGTAGCTAGAACTGCCTTTGTTGAGCTGAGGCTTTGTGTGCTGACTGTAGCTGTTCCTGATGTAGCTAGATGTAAAAGGTAAAGGTGTTCCCTATTGACAAGGTTGTCAAGCCATGCCCGTTCGTAGGGGGCAGTGCTCATCTCCGTTACTAAGCCAAAGAGCCAGCATTGTCAGAGACTACTCTGTGATCATGAATGCATAGAACGCTGTTTACCTTCCCACTGAGAAGTGGTACATTTATCTACTTGCATTTGCATGCTTTATCTACTTGCATTTGCTAGGTTGGCAGAAACTGGGACTAGTGATAGGAGCTCACCCCATCATGCAGCACCTTGGCCTTGAAATGCCAACCTGCCAATCTTGCAATCAACAATTAATCTTGCAGTTAGGGTAGCCAGATGTAGACATAACAAAATGTGGTTCTTAAAAAAGATTGCATTGGATTACTGCAACATGCACTGCATGGAGCACTCAATGCTGAAGAATGCAACTGTAAGAATGCTGGTCAGTGTTCCCTTAGATCAGGGGTCCCCGGACTTATTGATCCGGGGGCCAGTTCACTAGCCCCCAGATCTTCCCGGGAGCTGGAGTTGCACGCTCATGTGCACGCGCGCATGCGCACAACTCCGGACACCATTTTGGAATCCAAAATGGTGTCCGGAGTCATGCACATGCACGTGGCATCACGCGTGCATGCGCATGACTCTGGGCGCCATTTTGGAATCCAAAATGGTGCCCTCGGAGGACCCCCGTGGCCACTAAAGGTGGCGGCAGCGGCACGGTGGCGGTGGCAGGACCGGGCAGGGGTCGGTCCGAAGACCTCTGTTTTGTTTACTATTCTGTAAATTTGTTTTTGTTGTGTGCCTTTAAGTAGTTTCTGATTTATGGTGATCCTAAGGCAAACCTGTCACAAGATATGTTCAGAGGGGGTTTGCCTTTTTTCCTCTTTGAGGATGAGAGTGTGGGACTTGCCCAAGGTCACCCAGTGGGCTTCCATGGCTGACAGGGATTTAAACCCAGTCTCCAGAATCATAGTCTAGTATTCAAACCACTATACTACACTGGCTCTTCCATAGTATTTACTGTTCATTTTTGTTAGCTACCCCAAATAATATATAAACTGTAGAAGGGCGGGGTATGAATTCTGGTATGTATGAATAAGTAAATAAATACTTGTTCAGCCCTAAACACAATAGAATCTTCATGTCACTCATGGTTTTCAACCAAAGTCTTTTGAAATACTCCCTATTGTTATGGACGCCCTAATTCTTTTGCTTGAAAGGATAAAATGACTCTGTTTCCAAGCAGAAAATAAATGAAACAAACAAACCCTGCCAGTTCTAAAACCCAGTTTGCAGTAGTTATTCATTTGTGCACAGAAAGGCTGCAGGAGCTCATTTGTATATCTGTACACTCCAAAGTTTAGATGTTTCATTATTTCTCTATGTGCACAGGTAATGCTGTGATAGACACATGAAAATAATATGCGATATGGGCCACAAAAAATAAATTCTCCCTGTTGAAAATTCATGTCTTAAATATTTTATACACTGTTTATTCAGAACAAAGTGAATCCATTGTCTTTAGCTATGTTGTTTCCTTTTTAAAAAAGGGAAAAAAAACCTTCTCCAAATGCAATTGTACCTCTCTGAAAGAAATCTGGTCTGGACTGCACATTCCATTTCTGGAAAATAAATAGTTTGACTTGTAACGCTAGGGTAATCAGCATGGGACTGACTTATTTTGAGAGAGTGCTTGGCAGTGGGGTAAAAGTGTACTGGGTTCCTTTTGACCTCTTTGTCCCATGGGGCTTACTATCAAGATAAAAAAGCCATATCAATAGGAGAAAATAGTTGTCTAAAAGTCCTCAGAAACATACAGTAATTGAAACAGCACAGCAGATATCTGCCAAAGTTGCTATGTGTGTGTTGAAGTGTGCCTTCATTTTAACTCATCCAGTGGGCTCATGTCAGCTTAAGGAGACAGCAAGAGTTGGCTAATGTAGGAAGGTCCTGGAGTCAGGGGCTGGGGATGCCCCAACTTTTTTGAGTTTGTTTTTGCCCCCAGATGCCCCCCAAACACCCCCTAGTATTTGTGGGAGTCAATTTTGGCATGTTTTAGTTCCCCATAGAAGCCTTTTTTGCCATAGAAGTGCTACAATGCCATGTGGAGAGGCACAGAGAAAGCTGCTATTCTATTGCTCTGTTTCAGCTTTCTTTTCTCATGTAGAAGAGCTCTTAGACCTTGCTGTATGAGAAAATATACGTAATGGCTTTTAGCCTTTTGAATATGGGTGTTGCAGCTATAAGAAATACAGATGTGATGCATAAAAATGGATTTATGCACATTATTTAACAAGAACTGCAAAGGAGAACTGTGTGGGAAACTCACTCTAACCCTGGTGTGAAGCCATTGGGTAAGGCCTCCCCATCCCACCTGAACAGTGACTCGAGATCAGGGGCCCTCAAACTTTTTAAACAGGGGGCCAGTTCACTGTCCCTCAGACCGTTGGAGGGCTGGACATGCGCACTGTGGGCCTGGGACAAGTCGGCTGCTAAGCAGGACAGGCAGTGGCAGCAAAAACACCCAGTGGACCAGATAAATGTCCTCGGCGGGCTGCATATGGTCTGTGGGCCGTAGTTTGAGGATCCCTGCAGATCATTGCACTTCTGGGCTACGGTGCTCATAGTGTAAGGCAGCTGTGTGTGACTGTGGGGGTTTGAGGTATCTATTGCCCCCAGGGCACCTCAGAGCGCTGCTTCCATGCATTTCCTAACTCTGATTGTTTTCCCCCACTAAAGCTTGTCCGCAATTTTTTTCACCTAAATGCCAACCTGCAAACATCTTAGGTTACTTTCTATTGAAAAAGGTTTCTCCTGGACTTTAAAAAAATCTGCAGTGGACCCAAAATATTGCAGAAATTGCTCTCTTGCAGCCATGGGCAAAAATTGTTTCCAAATAATTTTGGTGTGTGTGTGTCTCAAAATAGCCTGTGAGCTATATGTAGGCCATGGGCTACTTTTTCTCCTCCCATAATTTAGGGAAACCTTCCCATCTCACTGCCTGTCAGGGCCTCACCACTCCAATCAGATGAGTAAAGTGAATAGGAATGTCATTCCAAAGTGATCCTTACTCTGCCCACCAGTATCAGGTCCCTTAACTGCAAGATTTGGAAGCCGCCATTTATCATTGAAGTGCCTACCAACCCTGTTCCTCAAGATAATTCTCACAGAAGCTTGCTGTGGCTCAGCAAATGTGACCAAATTAATCTGAAAACCATTCAAATCAGACTAAAATTAATAGGCCAGACGTGACCAAATTAACTTGACAAACAGCAAAACTATATTAGAAATAATTCCAAATAAAACCAAATCAACCTGAATTGCATATACCCACCCTTCACCCCATCTAGCTCACTATCGGGTACACAAACAGAACCTCCACAACAATTGGACAAGGCAGTAATTCCTATTTGGCCCTAAAATGGCCAGCAAAGCCTGCACTGAATACATGGAGAATGGTTGGGTGCTGGGGCGGAATCAAAGTGGCTGGGGGAAGATCTGGTGGACCTATGATCTCCTTGGCCACATTCTGTTGGGGTATGCAGACAGCATGGATCTAGCATACACACATGCATTGTAGATGCACGTAGACAGGAATGCCCAGAAGCTGGTCTTCTGTGAAGAGTCTGCTCCAGACGGCACATAAAAAACCTCCCACATGCAGCTGCTGCTTTCAGCTTGGGGAGAAATGAATAGCTGCATAGTGAGGTTTCACTCAATGAGGGCTTTAATCTTTGTTGCAAATATTTACAAA